CCCCCCCCCCCCCCCCAAATATTTGTAGTTAAATGGAACCTGGTTGCATGCTCCATTAAAAGGCAAGATTTTGATTATGCTTCTGGATTCAAAACTATGGATTCAGAGAGCCCACCTTTAAGAATTTGAAGTCCATTTTTTCAAAATTTTAGGGATGTTGGGAAGGAGAAAGTGGGCGACTGTAAAGGAATGGTCTCACAATGCTTTGTTTTGTTGGAACATATGACTTTGCTTATTCTAAAACATTTCACTACTGGTCTTGACCAACTTCCCATGAAATACTTACCAGGCAGCCAGGGGCTCTTGAAAATGCTATGCAGGATCACCTGCTCTGGGCAGTAGTACTATATTGATCTGATCTGATTATACGTCAATGCTTCATATAATGCTGAAAGTGTTTTTTATAGTTTTTTTGGGAGGAAGAAAGAGGCTCAGACAGTAAGAAAGTAACAGGAGTAAAATGGCCTCAACTGGCAGGCAATTAAAATTAGGAACATGTTTTAGTGCTTTCGTGAAAAGGGGTCTGGTGCCTCTAACACTGACCAAGTCAAGATTATTTAAAGTACAGTTACCCAACAGCACTGGAGCAGACTGACCTAGGAGGTTCCTTTTAGTCCCATACCTTAGTTTTTCCTAACACTGCTTGGTGAAGACGACAGTCAGGCTGTGTCCACACATGCAGGCATGTGTGGTTGCACAAGATCAAATAGTAGCAGCATAAATTTGTGCTGGAGATCTGTGCCTCAGCATACATGCCTGAACATGCACTTTGGCATGCATGTTTTGTTGATATATTTACAATTTTAAAGAAAATTTGGAAGCCTACCATTGATTCTATCATCATCATAAAAATAAATTCTAAATAGCTATAGGCTTTGGTGTTTGCTTTTGGTTTATTTATCATAGAAAAATCAGAGCTCCCCTTGCCCCCTTTGCTAACTAGGATGTGGGGACAACTGGCCCTGCAGCCACAGCCCCCACAGGCAGGTCCCATTTTGTGTAGTGCCTTGGCACGTAGGGTGCAACAGGTGGAAGGTGTGGGGGGAGGGGTTATGGGGGAGGCCACCATGCCCTCCACCCAATGGTGCACAGCCCTTGGCGCTGGCAGTAGCAGCCAGCCAGACTGTCAGGGCACTCATCAGCTGCTGCAGGCACCCCCCCCCCAGTGGTGCAACGCTGCCTGAGACCCAGAGGCTGGACATGGTGAATGGAGCTGGCCTGGTCCGCTGGCACACGCCTTCACATGGGATCAGGATGGCTCCCCGTGACTCCTGAGTGCAGTGCTGGGAGCCATGGGTGGTTGTAGGAGCTGTCCTGGCTCTGTCCGAAAGCAGGGGCCACGAGGCCGGGATGGCTCCATTTGCCATGTCCAACCGGTGGGTCTTAGGTGGTGCTGCACTGTTAGCAAGCTGTGCCTGCAGTGAGGGGAGGTGGGCATGTGGTAGCCCCCCCATAGCCCCCCTGCAAACCCCATGCCCACAAACTCCACACCCCCCCAACCCTACACACCCCCAAAACCCCAGTCCCCCCACAACCCTGCTTACAGGGGACCGAGTCTGGGTCCCAGCTGTTGCTGTAGCCTTGCCCTGCCACAAGTACAGCCCACAGATAGAAGACAATGAAACCAGATGTTTGATTTGGCATCACTTTGTACATGCAGTTTTCCTTATTAAGGACCCCAGATTTATTTGGTGAAAGCACACTGAATTTATGCTTTGCCTCATTCTTTTTTTTTTTGTCAATGTTCTTTCCCAGTACATTTGAAGGAATTCATTTTACTCTTTGGTAGATGGAGGAGAAAAGGGAAATATCTGCTACCTTTTGTTGCAATCAGCAGTAGCTAAACAGGAAACCATGTTGGAATAGTCTCCAACTTGCTAGATCACAGGAAAAGAACAGTACTTAGTTTAGGAAGCCAAAGTGTTTTGGGGCACATTCAGTTCATCCCACATTTTTTGCAAGGCTTCATAGAGGTCTTCTGACTCTTTCCTGTATGAAAAATCTTCAGTGTATTTTCTACTTTGTGGGGCACCTCTCTCAAAGTGCTTTAGTCTATTTTACTTTTTGGAGTATTTTTCTGGAGTTGGTCAAGATAAGAAAGGAGTGCTTTCTCATGCCCCTGAGAAGCATGAAAAGCATTTTCTGAAAAGAATAAAAAAAAGTAAAACCAGAATATCTGTGCATACAAACGTTAGCAGAAATAGTTTCCTAGATCATAACAAAGACAAATAATAATAATAATAATAAACAGCCTACTTACAGCCCAATCTAACATCAATTCCATAGATATTCTGTTCAAGATGTCCATCTGCTAAAATGTTGCAAGTCAGAGGAGTGGCTAATGTAGAGGTGTCATTAAATGTGACGCTGGAAACAGTTCTGTTTATTTCACGATATTGTTCTTTAGGTACTACAGAGTGTTTAGTTTTCCATATAATCTGACTGGCGTATATATTGCCATAGTCAAGGCAACTCTCATTGAGAATGCACCATGCTGTGAAATTGGAGCCAATGGCCAACACTGGAGACTCTGGAGTGATGTAACCACATGACTGGACAAGTGCATCTGCACCTAAAAAATAAAAACAAAAAGCGCCCCCCCAATCAATTTGAAAAACATTGCATTTCCCACATGCAATCTTCATACTTAAAAGGTCATTTGTAACAGTAGCATTACTGTAAGCCACAACTAGGGATCTACCATATTCACGATTTCACGTTTTTTGTGGAAACTTCAAATAAATAAATAAATAAAGTTTCTGTGAACCCTATAACAATGGCAATCCCTGCATGATAGGCAGCCCTCTTGGCCAATCAGTAGCAATAAGAGCTAGGAAGGACGCTGCTGCGAAAAGTTCACAAAATTGTGCCATGGGACATTTATGGCCTGCAATTTTTCTTTTGCTTCGGAGTGATTTAGGTAGATCCCTACTCATAAGAGGAAAAAAAAATATGTATTTTGTCAGTTTATTTTGTGCTTTTGAGAGCATTTTATTATTGGTCAGCTGAACTAAAGGAAGAGGAAATCATTAATGCACATACTTAAGAAGCTCAAACCAATACAATTCCCATG